GAAGAAGAGAAGAAGAATAAGAAGAGAATAAGAGAGAGAATAAGAAGAAGAAAGAAGAGAAGAAGGAAGAAAGAGAAGAAGAGAAAAGAAGAAGAAGAGAAGAGAGATAGAATAAGAAGAAGAAATAAGAAAAAAAAGAATAAGAATAAGAAAAAAGAGAATATAATAGAATAAGATAATAATAATAAGAATAATAATAAGAATAATAATAATAATAATAATAATATAAGAAATAATAAGAAATAATAAGAAAGAATAAATAATAATATATAAAATAAGAATAATAATAATAATAATAATAATAATAATAATAATATAATAATAATAATAATAAACTAATAATAATAATATAATAAAAATAATATAATAATAATAATAATAATAATAATAATAATAATAATAATAATAATAATATAATAATAATATATAATAATAATAATAATAATAATATAATAATAATAATAATATAATAATAATAATAATAATAATAATAATAATAATAATAATAAATAATAATAATAATAATCTAATAATAATAATAATAATAATAATAATAATGTCTTTATTAATCCCTCCACACTGCGAGGCCAGCTGGCTACTCTACCACTTAACCTCACAGCTCAGGAGCACATACAAAAGGAAAAACATAACAATGAATAGCAATCGACTAAATAATATATACAATAATTAAGCTTAAATAGATTAATCTTAATATGTTGTACATCTATTCCACATAGCCCGCTCTAAAAAAAAAACAATAAAGACAAAAAAATATATCAGCCTGCTTGGCTAGGAGACCCCAGAAGGTGGTTCTTAATGGCTCTCTTGAAAGCAAGTATTCCCATCTTTTGTAATTGTCAAAAATACTATTGTACACCTTGACAGCGTTGTAGGTGAAGCTACGATGGAAAATGTTGCTCCTATAACTAGGTATATGGAAGTCAAGAGTTATGTCTCAGATTCCTGTAATTGAGATCCCCACGTGGTACCAGCCTTTTTAGTAGATAAGTAGGTAGCCTATTGATTTTTATTCGTTGTATTAAAATTAGTAAGTTATATGTGAATAGCTGGTCAACCCTCAACCATCTAAGCTCATTGATCTTCTTAGATACATGGCTAAACTTTCGCAGACCACCAACGAACCTACAGCAGCTATTTTGAATTGTTTGTACTCGATATCTAGTCACGTAATCAAGACAAGGAAAGTAAACAGCAATTGAATAATTTATTAACGATAGAACCAGAGTCTCAGCCAGTTTTTTGCGAGTCTTGAAATTCAGAATATGGCGTTTGGTGTATAATAACTTCAAACGCCTGTATGTTAAGCGAGATAAATGCATAACATGTGGTTTAAACCTCAAATCTGAATCCATGGTGATCCCTAAGTACTTCGCATGGTCTACTATAGGAATATGGGTTTCGTTAAGACTAGGAACAATTGTGCCATCTAACCGTTGTACTAACTGTTTTGGGCCAAATATACGTAGCATAGTAGAACATTTTGAAGCATTGATCTTCAGACAATGTCTTTTGCAGTACTCTTCAATTTTATCTAGATCTAAGTTCAATTTATATGATGCTTCATGCATGTCCGAAGAATCAAAAGACAGAGTTAGCTGCGTGTCATCTACATACGTTTGAATATTATAGTGCTGAAGGCAAGTATGTAGATCAAAAGTATAAACTAAATAGAGTAATGGTCCCAACACAGAGGCTTGAGGTCCGCCAGATGCCACACTATTTGCCGAAGAAAATCCCTTACGTGTTTTCACCTTCTGGGTACGATTGCACAAATACGAATCGAAGAAACGTAGTGGCTTGTCAGAAAGACCATAAAATTTGAGCTTACTCAAGAGAATACCATGATGTACCATATCAAAGGCCTTAGAGAAGTCTAGCAGAATCAGAGCTGTTCCTATCTGATCATCTACATTTTTGATGATCATCCGTAATGTTTAATAAAGCGATTGTTGTGCTATGCCCTGTACGGAAACCAGACTGATATTGAGGAATCATATTGTTTTGTTTAAAATAGTGGGCCAGCTGTATGTAGACAATTTTCTCTAAAACCTTCGACAAAAAGCACAACATGCTCATGAGCCGTAGGTGAGAATACTCAGAGGGGCTGTTTATCTTCGCCAAAGGCAAAACGATAGCTTCCTTCCAGCAGCTTGGGAAAATCCCTGTCTCTAAGGAAACATTTATAATATGAGTAATGTGATTCAAAATTTCTGGTAAGCAGAGATTTACCATTTTACGACTAAGTCCATCACAACCCGATGTTTCTGACTTATAGAAGTTAAAACATCCAGCACTCCATGCTGGTCAACGTAGCGAAAAGTAAATGAAGGATCATTAGTGCAGAAGGAGCTATTATCATATTTATGAATTGTAGACTCAATTAGCCTCGAGTTCATATTAGCAGCAAGTGAGTTCAATAAAAAGTAATCATTCAGAGAGTCAGGTTCGAGTAGGTCATCTGGAATTTCAGTTTTTTCCGTCGACAGATACTCATATCTTCAAGGGTTTTCCAAGCTTGCTGCGTATTCAAGTTATCAATGTGTGATAGGTAAGCCTTTTTTCCCTCCTTATTGACGCTAAAGCGTAATTTCTTAGTTCCTTGTAGTAAATCCAGTTTTCTTGATTGGGAGTACGTCGGAAAGTTATTATGGCAGTATCCCTCTGTTTAAGTATAAGTTTTACTGTAGCTGTTAACCAGGGTGCGGCTCTTTTGTTGACGCGAGCAACTCTGACAGGCGCATAGGCATCAAATAAAATAGTGAGTGATTCCGTTAAAATACATACTTTTTGTTCTGTATCTTTGACATAAAAAATTCTATCCAAATTCATTCGGGTTAAATCAGTCTTAAAGCTGACTATGTCAATGTTTTTAAGATCTCTATAGGTGATAAATCGCAGTAGGGGTTTCTTAATTACAACACAGAATTCGCAAAAAACCAACTTATGGTCAGAAATAATATCTGCATTAACTACACCAGCTTTTGAAACAGTGTCTGAGTTATTGACGAAAATTGGATCAATGAGAGAAGATCTCATTTGGGTTACCCTAGTAGGCTCGTCAATGACCTGCGCAATGGTGTAACAATCAAAACATGCACTAAGTGGGTTACCTGGGTTGAGCAGAGCAACATTCATATCACCTGATACTATGATATTGTCGTGCTGAGGGCTGAAAAATAATAGGAGCTTATCCAAAATGCTAATGCTATCGTTTATAGAGCAATTATATTTCGTAGTGCCGTTCTCGAATTACAAAGTAACCACTTGTAGTAGCAATTTTTCCCGCTCGCACCAGTACGAAGTTCAAAGCAAATATGCTCCCCGCCCCTGCCCATACCCGGCATAGACCGGTACCTGATCTCCTCTACCAAGACTCGTCACTGCAATTTTTCGTGCGCTCGCAGCAGGACGGAGAGAAAGATGGGTCGCGTAACAAAGAAAGTGACGCGTAAACACAGAAAAAAAAATTACACAAATTGCTGCAACTTTTAGATAGTTCAAGTAAGTATATTGTAATTAATTGTTCCCTTCTGTTTTAGCCCCAATTCATTCAATGAAAACATAAGTACACATGTGCTATGTGCCTATCAGGTTCCTGTTTATATTGATATTCAGTATTCACATGAATTACTAGTATTAATTAAAATGGTTGATTAATTTCAATGTGCCCCTCGGATATACATGTACACATGTACTATGTACCGATTAAACACTTCTTGATATACAGTATTCACATGAATTACTGGCATGAATAGTTGATTGTTTTCAAAATACATCTCGGGTATGCGTATGTACACATGTGCTATGCACCGAATGGCGACTTCTTGACTTACAGTATTCACATGAATTACTGTTGTCAATGTTATTGGCATATTGGTATGGAATACATAGTATGTAACTCTTTCAAAACAAAGCTGCCGGATAGTGTTTATAAACATGTGAAAAGTTTTTAGGCGAGTCAGACGTCTCGTCGTTGGAGAGTACAGGGACGGACTCGGATTCAGATGCGCCCTTATCAAACCATCCAAACGCAAGTCCCGGAGCCTGGCTCATCCCAGGATCAGGGTGTACAAAATATACTACAATTCCTGGGTAATCAAGCATCTGCTATAAAAGGACCAGAGGTCAGTACAGACGTAGCAGCCCTGATATCTGAGTTTTTCCTCAAGGGAATGATAAAGAATCTCGCAAAACTACTCTGGAATCTTAATCCCTGTTTGGCAAACTGTCCAGCCCTTCAGCCTCCAGTGATTAACCCAGAGGTTCGATCTTGTTTAAGTTCAAATGCAGTTAAAGCGGATACATTCCTCTGTAAACTTCAATTACATCTGGGATAAGTGCAACTGGCCGTCGGCTTCGATAAGCAATATGAAATAAACGAAATCGAATTCTACAGACGAAACACGAGCTGATTTGGAAAGATGCTGTGCTCCACTAAAAATAATCGCAGATGTTTTTTCACGCGATTTCTCTTCATCGTCCGTTATTCCATTCTATAAACTACCATTTTTGGATGGCAACGTTCGCAAATTTTCTGATACTTGCCCAATTGATAAATTTTTTATTGGAAAAACATTTCCGGACCAATGGAAATCCGCAAGTGAAGCTCAACGATTAGGCTTTTCAATCAAGAAGAAGGAAAAAGCCCTAGGATCAGCATCTTCCAACCAGTCGGTCTATAAGAAATTGGAGCCCAAGCCAGGTCCGTCGAGGGTCCCGTCGTCTTTAAACAACTCCCGGCGCCAGCAACAACAAATCTCGCATGAAAACGAGGAGGAGAGGTTTCGTTCAGCAAGGTCATACCGGAAGCAGTAGACAAGGTACATACTCTTTGCGATAAGTATGCGGGTCGCTTATCTGCATATGTAAATAAGTGGGCAAACATTACACAAGATTCTACTATTATTTCGTGGTTATCTGGATATAAAATGCCTTTTGTTAAGAAACCTAAGCAAAGGCGTTTACCTAGACCTGCTTTTACGCTGCAGGAATCAGATAATTAAGGATAGCATAAGACTTTTGATTAAACATAGGAGCAGTATCCAAAACTACCACCTCAAAAACCTGCCAGTTTTTTGTCCTCATTTTTCTTAGATACCGAAACCTTGTGGGGCATTCAGGTTTATTCTAAATTTAAAGGAATTAAACGAATTTTAGAACCACCCCACTTTAAATTGGAAGATTTCAGACTGTCTTCAAATTGGTTTTAATGACTGTTTCTTCTTCTTCACTAAAATAGATTTAAAAGATGCCTATTATATGATACCGGTGCATCAGACATTCAGAAAATACCTCTCTTTTAAATTTCAAGGTGTATATTACCATTTTAATGTTTACTAGAGGTATAATTGGTGTACTGTATTTAGATGACTTATTAATTATCAGTAAGTCAATACAAACAGCTGAGCAAGACTGTCAAATTGCTAAGGATATTTTTAGAATAGTTAGGATTCTTAGTAAATTACCAACAGAAAAAAGTGAAAAACATGATGGAACTAGTAGAGGACTTTTCTACGCCGCAATCGGTGCTCTGTTTTAGTTTTTAGCCTCAGTTAATAGGAAAACTAGTTTCCCTTTGCCCGTCTGTATAATATGGTTGGATGCACCTTAAGATTTTAGAACGAGTTTAAATATGTAACATTAAAAAGACACGAGCAAAATTTCAATACCTCAGTAGTAATTTCAGAAATAATGCGATCAGAAATATATTGATGGCATCACACTCTTATAATAATGAAGGTGTAGCTATTGTTACAGATAGGAACTTCATACTTGAAATTTTCCTCAGATGCTTCATTAACTGGTTGGGGTGCCTTTTGTCAGAATAGAGGTACTAACGGTTTTTTGGAATGTGGACGATGCTAACAGACACATTAACTATTTGGAGTTACTATCCGCATTCAATGCACTTAAATCCTTTGCCTCCAATATATCTTCTTGTTCAATTCTTCTTAGAATCGACAATGTAACGGCTATAGCTTGCATAAATCATATGGGTAGTGTAAGATATAAGCACCTCAACAACATCGCACGCTAGATTTGGGAATGGTGTAAGAATAGACAAATTTTCATAGTAGCTTCATATATAATACAAACAGATAATTTCTATGCAGATAGATTATCTCGCTCGAAATCTATCAACCTAGAATATGAGTTATCGAGTTTGGCTTTTCGAGAAATTTGGTTCTTGTTTCGGGAAACCGACTGTGGATTATTTGCGACACAGTTAAATGCCAAAGTTCCTAGGTATATTTCTTGGAAACCAGATCCTAGTTCCTTTACAGTTGATGCATTTTCAGTGTCTTGGGGAAAAGAGTTTTTTTTATGCTTTTCCTCCCTCCTCCTTCTTCTCACTCATATCAAAATGCTACAAAAAATTATTGCTGAACAAGCTTGTGGAATTCTTGTGGTTCCTAATTGGACAACTCAACCGTGGTATTCCGTTTTCCATAAATTATTGACAGGAAGATCTATAATCTTTTCGCCTAATAAAGCCCTTCTCTCTTCCCCTTCTATGGGATGCCATCCACTGTGGAGAACACTTTCCCTGGAGGCTGGGAGTTTATCGGGGAAGCTTTTCTCAGACGAGGAGTTGCCGAAAGACGGCTCCAAGCAATCAAGGCATCGCTTAGTCCATCTACCTTGAGACAGTATTCATCGAAATTAAAAAAGTGGTGGCAATTTTGCATAAGCAAAGGCTATATTCCTTTTTTGTATTCATTAGACGCAGTCATTAATTTTTTTGAGTGATCAATTTCAAAACATTTGCTCCTACTCAACACGTAACTCACAGTATGAGGGCATTAGCTTTGATTTTGAGATAAATAGCTCAGATAAAACTATTCTAAAACGGTTATTAAAGGAATTTTCAATCAGAGACCGTCAAGACCTTAGTACCAATCAACTTGGGATCCTCAACCAGTTTTAGAGTACTTATCTACCTTGTATCCCTTAACAGAAATATCTGTTATGCAATTGACTATGAAGTTAGTTACTTTGTTAGCTTTAATTACTGGCCATCGATTACAAACGTTCACTTATATACGATTACAAAATATAGTTCGCCATACTGATAGAATAGAAATTAACATTACGGATAGAATCAAAAATTCATCTTCCAAGGATCTTCAACCCCTTTTAGTGATCCCATATTTTCGGGAAAACCCTAGCCTTTGTTTAGCCTCAACTATCGATTTCTATGAAATAGAAACCAGAGGCATACGCCCACTTGATACTGATTTTCTTATTTTAACAGTTAAGAGACCTATTCGCCCAGCCTCTACACAGAGATTGAGTAAATGGATCAAACTGACCCTTCAAGCAGGCGGTATTGATACCTCTATATTTTCTAGTTATAGCACTAGGCATGCAGCTACATCTGCAGCCTATAGAGCTGGAGTCTCTATTGAAATGATAAGAGAGAGGGCTGGTTGGACGCAAAAATCATAAATCTTTTCTAAGTTTTATAATCGCCCTCTTTGTAATGATGTTACGGCCTTTGCTAAAGGTATCTTGAGTTAAGCTCAGTTTAAATATTTTTTTTATGGATTAATAGAGTTTGATCAAATTCTATACTACTTTTTGAAGAGAGAGTAGTGAACTGTTCATAATATAATAATTTGTATTAGAAGATAGTATTATTGAATTGTTTTGTTTAGATTCCTCTATTAGATCTTTACGAAATAAATATGGTGCCATGATCCCGATTCGGACTCTTCTTTGAACATCTACAAGTGGTTACTTTGTAATTCGAGAACGGCAATACGAAATATAATTAATTGTTCAATTGACTTACCTTAAGGAAAATTGAACCATATTATATGAGTATTGCCGTTCGAAGAATTACAAACCCACCCATTGTTTTTCATCCCTCCCACTGTTCCGAACGGGATTAGCTGCGTAAATTGCAGTGACGAGTCTAGGTAGAGGACATCACGTACATACCGGTCTATGCCGGGTATGGGCAGGGGCGGGGAGCATATTTTGCTTTGAACTTCGTGCTGGTGCGAGCGGGAAAAATTGCTACTACAAGTGGTTACTTTGTAATTCTTCGAACGGCAATACTCATATAATATGGTTCAATTTTCCTTAAGGTAAGTCAATTGAACAATTAATTAGGAGGTCGATAAATGAGCATTATCAGATATCCCCTAACTATATTATAACTATCTAAAACTGTAATGACTCATCGATGTTCACGTGAACATCACTTAACTACCAGTAGTCGGCTGTTCATAGGCGGGGTATGAATGTTTAACATGGGTGAACTAGATTTGTCACATGCTTAATAAAGAGTGGTTTGAAACATATTGTAAGTAAAAAATTTGGGAATTACCTTTATTCATCGTCGCTTCCACTTACATCTGACAGTAATAAACTGTCGCTATCGCTTTCCTCGTTGAAATTGACTATAACTGGCTCTATGATGGTGTCGATGTGGTGGTCAAGCTGCCACATTTTTGTTTCTTCCTTCACAACATGACGGATAGCATTCTGCCAAGCTTCGGGCGTTACTAGCTGTATGGAAGTCTCAAGTAAAACCTTAACGTCTGGTAATTTGAAGATTGTGTTATAGCGCGCAATATAACCCTTCACTTGAGCCCAGATGAGCTCTACTGGGTTCAGTTGAAAGTGGTAGGGCGGTAACCGCAGCACAGTGACACCACATTGACGGGTCATCTCATCAGTCACGTTGCAATGTTCGCAGGTTTGTGCTGTTTAATTTTTTCATATAATTCCGCTTTCACACATGAATCGTCAAACGGGATTCCTTTTTCGCGCAACCATTGCTGCATGTCACTTTTTCGAGATCCCATAGTCGGTACACGTTCGGCTCGACGACTATGGTAGGAAGCATTATCCATGACGATCACAGAGTTGGGCTCAACTCGCTGAAGCACCCCTTGAAACCAGCTCTCGAAGCAGCTGGCATTCATTTCGTCATGGTAATCACCTCCTTTCTTATAGACGAAAATCAAGTCACACTCTTCTAAAAAGCCACTATCGCTACCAATATGAGTTACGATCAATCTTTGACCTTTCCCTGACGGTCCACGAAGACCTGTTGACAAACCTTCAATGCTTGCTTGTCGGTTACTTACTACGTTTTTGTCTATCCAGGTTTTTTTAACTGTGTGACCTGCATTTACCCATGTCTCGTCCAAATAATAGATTTTTCTGCTTTTCGCCTATATTCAATCATTTCGCGTAGGTATTTTCGACGCCAGGCGACTATTTCAGGTCTCTCTATCAATACTGACTTCCGATTACGCGTTTCGTAACGAAAATTAATTTCGTGCAGGGATTTCCTCATTACCTCGACGCTCATTTGGGGTATAATTTCATTTTCCTTGATCTCTGCATGTACAGCCTTGAGGGTTGGTATCTCATTCCTAAAAAGAATGAATGTACGGTTCGCCTTAACGCCATTTTGCTATCGTCATCCAATTTAACGGCCTTTCGTCCCTTCAAATTAAACTTTGGATCAGTAGTAGCTCCAGTTTTCTTCTTTCCATGCACCACCCTGCGAATGGTCCACTCTGGAACGCCTGTCATACTTTCACAACGCGTGAGTGCATCTCCCTGCGACATAGTTCTGTTCAGATAATTGAACACGTTGAGCACGATTTCTTTCGCGTCCCTCCTCAGTGCTTTACGAAGCCGTCTACTTGTTCCTTGGCTTTTAGTACTTCCACTCGTGCCATTTGTACTCTCCATGGTTAAGTATAACCAAAACAGTAACCACAGAAACCACAACAATAACAATCACACAACAATTCTTATAAAAACACACAATATGCGATCGCTCAATGAAACACGTTCCAATGCGTTGCCGACGCCTATGAGTCTGCCGGTCGAGGCGCGTCTTTGCTTTCATTGGTTCTACCGGCGGAGAACAATCAGCCATTATTTCCATCTCTGTCTGTGCTGATGACCATCGCAAAGCCACAGAAACGACATGTGTCGTACGCTATACGGCTGTACTGGAAGGAAGCCGGGATCGAGCTCTGATCACGTGTTGATCACGCGTATGAGTCATTACAGTTTGAAATAGTTGTGGTATAGATATAGTGAATTGACAACAAAGTATTTCCATCGCACCCGAGTCGATAGGGTTCGTTTCTACTAAACTACAATTGAGATATGACCTAGCATACAAAGCAACACCTCCACCCCTAACTCCACGATCTTTCCGGAATAAACTGTAGCCATTCATTGATACTGCACCATCATCAATGCAATCGTTTAACCATGATTCACTAATAGCAATAATATCATATTTATCACGCGTTAATGCAAAAAAATCATCTAAAGAAGGCAGCAAGAAGCGAACGTTTAAATGACATACATTCATTAATCCCTTATTACTATTAGTCATATTGAATCATATACTAAGTGACATATAAATCCGAACACCCAGTTTAAATGGTTTTATTTTAATAAAATTTTGTATAAGTACTTAATGAAGCATAATAAGTAAATGATAAAAATTTCAAAATGATTGCACTGCTTTAAAGCCCTTTGACCTTTAATAATGTGTGGATGCCCCCTGATGTGCTACGCATTCTCCAACGCGCCTAGGCATGCTTCTGATCAGGTGGTCAATGTCCTCCTGTGGTATCTCATTCCAGGCAACCACCAACTCCTCTGGAAGTGCTTCTAGAGTCTGAGGAGGACGTTGCAAATTGAGCAATCTCCTACCCATCATATCACACACGTGCTCAATTGGGGATAAGTCGGGAGATCTTGGTGGCCATGGTAACAATGTGACATCATTTTGTTGAAAGAAGTCTATTGTGACTCTTGCAACATGTGGTCGGGCATTATCTTGTTGGAAAGTTGGATCTGCCAGGGTGTCAAGATAGGGTAAAAGATGGTTTTCTAGAACTTCGTGGATATAACGCTGCGCGTTCATGTTACCTCTGATGAAGATTAAAGGTGACCTCGTAAAGGATGTCAAGAACCAAAATCCGCCAACGTTGATTCTTTACTGCGGCTGAAATATTCATTTTTAGAGCGTTAGTAAATTAAAAAAAAGCAGTATAAAAACCGGAATGTCCAACTGATAAGGCTGAACATTTTTTCACTTGTTACTTACAGTAAGATAAATACATTCACCAACTTTTATTAAAATAAAACCATTTAAACTGGGTGTTCGGATTTATGTCACTTAGTATATTATGACTTCCCGTACACTGACAACACACTAAATCAGATTTGCAATTACTACTAATATGGCCAAATGCACAGCACTTGTAACACTTCATAACACGTAGGTGATCACAGACTTCTGACTTCTTCCACCCAATGAACAAGTACCCCTCCTGAAGAAACGATTTACGAAGGGCTGGTGTCACGTCAACGACGACATTAACGCTGTTGAAATGCTTCAGCTTGGTTACGTATTTAATATCTTGTTTAGGAATATTTAGAGAACTGTTCAAGGAAACGATGCTATCCAAGATATCCTCAGGGGTGTTGATTCCATTCAGGTTTACGTTCTTAATTTACATCCGTGGATTGAGCTTTTTAGCTTCAGAAAAGGAATATTTGGAACCCAATTTACCGCTCAAACCAGTTTTGAGGGCAGCTAGGGATTCATCGTCTTTGCAATGAACAGCAACTCCATTTTTGATCAGTTTCGTACCATTTACACAAACATTCAGGTCACCAGGTTTGACAGAAGAAGTGACTTCTTGCAGAATATCTTTGGAATCAACAACCTGCTCGCCTCAGGCCTAGGACGAAGCAAATCAGCAGACTCAAATGTCCCCATTTTGCTGCCATGGGATTTCAGCACCTCTTTTTGTAACCCATTACTGTACTCCAACTCAGATACTAGCTTTTTAGTTAAATTCAGCAAAGACAATCATCGCAGAGCCAAAGAAGGTTTTCGCATTCAGCAATTATTCTCAGCCAACTATCCTTGACAACAACGCAGGACGTGTGGTATTTGGCGACAAAAATACTGCA